AGTGTTCATGTTCTCATCACCGCCTTATTATCTTCGGTATTTGTCACTTCTTTCTATTTTTGGCATCAAAGTGCTGAGAAGTATCTTCAACCATTGCAGAGTTCATCTGCCGCGCGAAGTTGTGGATGACAATACTGGCACTGCAAGCTACGATTCCACGGCAGGTCAGTCTACCCTTACTGCATTCTTCAGGAAGTCAAGTGACTTCGATTCACATAAATTACTCAGGTGAATTCACCGTAAATGTTCCCAAGAAGAATGTCGGTGAGAATTTTCCCAACTTGGACATGATAACGGAACTTTTGAATCCACAAAAGAAGATATCAGCAAAACAACTGGTTGAAGAAGTTGCTGATGACACAGAAGAAGGTGAGCTTGAATCATATATCCACTTTTGTACTAAAAGTTGATTGCAGAAAATGACGATGACGACGATTATCTGATTGAGCAGAACATCACTGATGTAAGCGCTGGCTGTACCGAAAATACCGACAGTAACTGCGGTTATGGATTTGCATGGCGAAGGAATGGGATTTTAGGTTAAAATATCGAATTTTTCTACTAGCAGCTTGACCGGTGGATAGACAGATTAGATGAAAATTTGAACAAAACGTTGCAGGCTAATATATGTTGGCAACTTCGGCCCGAATATTTGAGATAAGGTGGCCCAGCAGGTGCTGAACGGAATTTCTGAGGCAAACATTGCATTACACACTAGTCTGGTCATTTTGATATCGCAGGCGGCCGGGGGAGTGCAAGAAGAAGTGCACTTTTGTTTGCGCGGAACAGTCCCACGATGTAATTGCATTGGTGTATATTCTCTTCAAATTTTTATGCTGTTAGATTTTGTCATCTATATTCGCGGAAGATATTGGTCATGCCGACTTTTTGATGCTTCTGAAAACTCGGAACTTTCAACTAAACTTTTCGGCGCTGGTGATCAACATGTGACGCAAAACTTTCCAAATCGATGTTTCAAATTTTCAAATTGCTGTTAATTCCTGTCAATTGGTCTGCAGTGGAAACTCTGTATTGGAGATAAGAAAGCAGGAACGGTAGCTAGCCAACTTTGTTCGGTAAAGTACAGGCCAAGTGTTAACAAGCCTAGAGTCTTTGACAACGTAGTTCTAGCTCTGTATATGTGGAAGAGGTGTGCATTCTATATCATC